CGGCATTATTGATATTTTCGTCGCCAACCGATCGTTAGTTATCGTTTAGCCCGCTGTGGGATTGCAACGATTTGCTATGATGATATCTACTTTTAATAAATTCAGAGCGAAGTTCAATACTGTCAGCGTCCAATCCACTGGGGAGTTCGGCTTTTGTCCCTCGTCGGTGAGGATTCATCGAAAAATGTCTGATTCATCGCGTTAATACCAGCAAGAACTGTAATTTGAGATTTCCACAAATGTTTAGCACGCTACGGTATGTTAGGCACCGAATATGTTCGCTAGTGTTTTCTACCGGTATATTCTGGGCCTGGTATGGTTTCATGATCCGTTGTAAGGACATTAAGTAATAAATTATTCATTCTACTTGCACGGTCGTCTTGGCAGTATGACGGAGCATCGACGAGATGACAGAAGCCAGTCTGCGAAACATGCTATTAAGCATCTGTTAAGAACCCTAATGCACACAGGCTTTTTTAAATGAGATTACTTTTTTTACCACTCGAATTGTTGCCAGCATATTGTCGAAAATCCAACAACTTCCCCGAGAAATAAAATAGGTATATGGAAAGAAACTTTTTTACAAACGCCTTGGTAGAAAGACGCATATAGTTGAGATATACAAATGCAAGATTTAAAATCGGAACCAAGTACTATGATACAGTGAATAATAACGCTGCTATAAAATCAACTAGCAGATAAAATTGCCAGAGGTAAAAATTGAACTTTGTGAGTGATGAATGTCAGATTACGCTCTTTATACCGCGGAACTGTGACAATTCATCGCCTATCCAATACCGCACACCAATGTCAGTCTGAATGGAACGCAGCCCCGCGTCTCATCTTTAGGTGATATATATTTATACGATTCCTCGTAGGTTAGGGGGCGCATTTGGATAATGGTTGTTAATAACAACCCAGGTCCATTAAAGTCTCATCTATAAAAAAAAAATTTTCCTAAAAAACTTGACTTATACCTCGACTTACCATATATCTGGAGCAAAAAAAGGGACGGTGCGGATTGGACAAGCCGCAGGTCTACCGCGGAAAAACATGCTAAAACCCGGACTATCCCGGGACGTATGGTAAGCCTACTTGTACCCCATCTTAGAATCTCTCTCTCAATCCCAAGAATCTCCCTCTCAATCCCAAGAACAGCCAAGTTTCAACAAAAACAATCAGTACATATATTTGGAAATTTTCCACAACATGCAAAAAACACTGGTTGATTGTATTATTTTCGACATTTTTCAAGAATATAGCTCATGTTAAACTTTGTATAAATTGATGAATCTCATTATCACCAGCCCTTAGTGGAATAAATTTTATACATTGATAACAACGATTTAGAAGTTGAGAATGTAAAATTCAACAACTTTTGTTACCTAGAGCAAAAAATGTGATATTCGAGAAAATCAAAATTAATTGAGAGATCGACCAGGCATTAAGCCAACTTGAATATTCCTGCTGGTGGTATAAATACATACAAAAACAGTGATAGACTATGAAATGTACAAGATGATGGCATATGCTATGTAAAAAATATAACACTGGTTTCTGATAAATAATAATAAAGAAAGAAGCTAATGAATAATTCATATCTTTTAATGTGTGCAATCGCAGTCAGAGCACATCTGGCATAAATAAATTTGATGGAAGGAAATAGTTATACTACCAAACAATGAGTTGACAGTTAAAGAAAAAAATACCAGACAAACAAAATGCTATATTGGGGTACCAATGAGAATTTCATTAGCGATTTTTTTTCAAATCACATGCTTATTGAAAAGTATACTAGAAATTTGAAGTATACACGAAAATTTGAATTTTAACCAGACTGCTCAAAAAGGTTAAATTTAACGGAAAGAAAATTTGCCAAATAAAATATTTTTATACCATATTTCACCAGTTATATAAACAAATAATAAAAAAAATACCCGTGCAGATAATATATTTCAGTGCAGACAAATGGAACATATTTTGGACACAATATTACAAAATTTTACAATGATTCCACCGATACAGAACAACAAAATTCAGACCAAAATGTTCTCTCAAATTCCTAATTTAAGATATGATTGAGCACAAAGTAGCAGCTTGGTATTTGCATTCACGATTTATAAAACAAAAGCTATTTTGTAATGATTGTTATAGGAAATGAAAGAAAAACTGTGCAATCGGATGTTGGAAGCAGTTATATAAAAAAGTTTTTCAGTGTGTTGAAAAAGTGCTCCATGTTAATATACAAAGTGGAAAATCCCAAAGCCTGCAACATACTGTACTTGTAACAGATTTCCTGTGTGTTTGATGGAACCAGAAACTAAATTTAAAAATGGCATACTGTACAGTGCTTACATTCTTTTTTTACTACCACGCTGATGAGTTCCTGATGCTGGACGCTGAAAATGAGATAATATGGTATGAGATACTAACATCTTCATGTCATGGTCAGAGGCTTCATCTCCAGATACCCATGGATGTTCCAAAACTTGAGATGCTGTTAATCTTATTTTGACATCATGTTGTAACATTTTGTTGATGAGGTCTTGTGCAGACTTTGAAACAAAATCCCAGTGAGGAGAAGGGAATTCATAATGTCCACATAGAATCGAATCAAATAGTTCTTCCTGCAGGTTTTTAACAGACTGAAAGGGAGGAAATCCACATAAAAGAATGTAAGTTATGACACCAGCAGCCCAAACATCAACTTGAACACCATATCCCTGCTGTAACACAATTTCGGGAGCGACATATGTTGGTGTTCCACAAACTGTGTATAACGGTCCATCTACCGTTGTCGCAAGACCAAAATCTCCTAGTTTCAATGCCTTACTGCTGTCTGAGTATTCGAAAAGCAAAAGATTTTCTGGTTTCACATCTCGATGAACTATATTGAGGTTGTGAAGATAAGCTAATGCACTACATAAATTATAAATCATGCCACTTGCATCTCGTTCCGTGTAACAAGAACCTGATGTAATCGCATCAAAAAGGTCGCCACCTTCCGCTAGCTCCATTACCAAAAAAATTTCAGTTTCTGTAACAAAATCTTGCAATACTCTGACAATATTTGGATGCTCAATTTTCTTCAAGATGGAAACTTCATTCTCGATTTTGTGGCCCGGTTCCGTACCTTTTGTTTTATCTATGATCTTCATGGCATATCTTATACCACTGGTGCGGTGAATGCATTCCTTCACTGTTGCAAAATTTCCATCACCCAGCATTGATCTAACTTTATATTGTCGAACAAGGTCTCGAGGCCAAGCTATGATGGGATCTTCATCCTTTTCAGCATCCGCTAGAGATCTTGTCAAGTCATTAGTGGGGTTTAAAGTCACATTTCCTTCTCGCTGATCTTGACTCTGCCGCATCCTTGATTTGGGTTTCTGAGGAGGTTGCGTTCTTGCGCTGGATTTCACCCGAAAACTTCTTCTGGGAGCTTGTGGTGTTGAGATAGGTTTCGTGAAGCCTTGTTCGGAATTATTGATTTCAAAATCATCATGAGTTAACTTTTCATATCCACAAGCAATAAAAACTTCATCATCTTCAAAAAAATCACTCAACTGGGTGACTTCCTTACCATGAAGTGTATAAATTTTTCTGACAGCACCTGTGTCAAGCTTTATAGCCGAGGTTATTTCATTCGCGACCTGTTCAAGGCTATGGGCTGTCTTTTTATTGAGCAGTATTCTGATAGCTTTTCTTGGTTTCACACCATTTCTTATAACTGTAATCAATTTTGGTCGAATAAAATCACGATTTAATCTGAAGGAGGATCTTCGCTCCTCTGACAATCGATTGTGATCATTGAAAGATTGTCTACCATCAGGTAATCTTGACATTGATCTAGACTTCAATTCGGAGTTTTGCGACCAGTTCGGACAAGCATTCCGCAGATAATCTAGTCTTTTGCAGGTTTCAGATGAAGAGCAGACATAGCTTTGTCCATTCACTAGCTCATCTAAACTGGTAATTCTTCGCCAATCGCCAATAGTAAAAATGGAGCGGACACCAAATGGAAGATTAACATTATCTTTGAGTGCACGAGTTAAATCAGTTAAAAGGGCATCAAAAGAACGGAATCGTGAACTTGAAATAGCATATGTGATACCTTGATGAAAACGGTCACCACTGCGATAAAATTGTACTCGCTTTGCTTTCTTTTCTTGTGATAAGTGTTGGAGGGTTCTTGTGCGATAAAAACTTGAATGAGCACTGTGAGCAGGACTACGTGTCCCTCTCATCAATCGAGACTTCTCAGATGCAAAATGTTCTGCAATAGAGCGCTGCATGACGCCATTCACCATGCTATTTGTCCTTCAAATGAAGTTAAAGAATACAACCAAAACACATAGCATACAAATAAGCTAAAAGATAATTTCAGAAGTTATAATTCTTTTTTAGTAGTCTGACCAAAACAGATTCGCAATTTAAATAGACTAGATTTCACAAAATTTCTCATGCTGTACCGACGGTAAAGACTATTGAGGTTTCCTGTATATAGACTAGATCTGTAGATCACCATTGGGACAAGTCTGCGAGTACTACAGTACTAGCCTATCATCAGCACGCAAAACAATCTGACAATGTAAAAACTACAGAATCATATTTTCCTCTCCTATTTCTAGACTACCCCTTTTGCCTCAAGATCAATTTCCTAAAAATTTTGAGACATCGTTTTGTCACAAAATTGAATTGATTACTTGAAGAGCCGCATCTTATGACAGAATTACCGCATTCAATGATTCATACCATCATACAGTCATGTCATACCGGTAGTCCTCTACTTGTGTACTGCCAAACGCAGTCAATGACGCTGTTACTTTTCAAATAAACACTTGAAAATGAAATCATCAATCTGTAAATACTCATCACATTCAACATTTCATTAGAACTAAGCCCAGTCTGACAATCCTGCCCAAACAACGCCCAGCGACACATAACAACAAACAAAATCACAAGTCGACGAGAGAGAACTTTCGCTCGCGACGAACAAAACCAAATGGTACGACAGACTGCACCGTCGATCCGAGAAGAAATTTCAAACGAAGAGAAAAAAGAATTAAGTTACGATTCACAAGGATAAAATCTATTACTATGCTCTGATCATCCATAGCCCAAATTTATTTCATTTGGTCGCTGTTTTACTCGATTCGATAGTAATTACTTTGTTCCAGTGCATCTTGGTGTGAAATAACAGATGTGCCTTCGCGTTGATATTTGACACTTCATTGAGAAGACAAATTCAAACTGTGTGGTCATTATGGTAAACGAATCTTTACGAGATATTATTGATGTGGAATGGCATCGAACTGAATTCGCAAATGAATTTTTCAAGTCCCTTTTACACAGGTACGAATACTGTTTTAAATTGGAATGAATTTGTTGGATTGAATAGCCAAATATATAGTTCGGCTTGGGGGAAATTTAGAAGTATTAAGATTGACAATTTAAGTGTATTAATAGACAGATCAGCAGCAGAAATGCAGTTATACTTGTTGGGGTACATGTCGCACATCTGTGTCTTAGGCCAGAAAGGTCTTGAACATGTATCCCGTCTCTTTTATACCGTTTAGCTTTTATGCAGATACTGTTACATTTTTGAGGGAAATAAACATATATCTGTATATACAGCTAGACTACTTCATTGTAATTTACTGGGTACATCTCTCCCTCATGCCAGCATACCTTACAGATAGATGTAATTCTAAGGCTTCCTGCAGGGTCCACAACATAAGAATATCGTTTGTTCTCTACTACCTCATTCTTCTCAAATTCTATTTTAGCAAAATCTGCTTATTATTTGAACAGGGTTTTGTGATTGTGTTATTGTTTCTGGTCTATGGCTTCAACTAACATATATTTGCCTGTGAATATGTTCTGTGTAATTTTTTAGGGGCCAACGCAGGCAGTTTGGACTTCTTGAAAGGCCTTCACTGTCACCTAGCAAGTGAGTGCATAATTATTATAGAAATATATGGAACAATCACTACAGACTGGCAAACCCTGCTCTTTAGACACAATTAATTTTTTCGTCATTATGCTGATATTATAATGAATTCTGTGATATATTTGCGTGCAAAATACTAAGGATTTATGGAACAATAGCCCAAGACGAGTATGAATCAAGAGGAACCTTCGTTTCTGATGAAATCTAACTAAGAACATAGCTAATTTTATTTCACTTGTCTCTTTCTCTTGTTTTCCATTCAATATATGTTAATATGTATAAATACTCCTTTCATGTTATATTTTGTAGTATTCAATTGAACCTATCTGGCATCTGCAGATTTTGTTTTATCAAATCTATTTTGATATTTAATCTTGTGTTTCAATAACTTTCAGAGAAACTACTATTGTCGAATACAAGATATTCCTTTGTGGAAGATCAGGGGTTGGGAAGACTGCAACAGTGGCAAAGTTAGCAGGCAACAAAATACCAAATGTTTTCAGTGAAACTGCAGGTATGCATGTTTATTTATCCAATATAACAACATCTCTATAATTGATAAACTTTAAAATAGAGTAACTATATAAAGCATATATGTGATCAATTTTGTACCAACATTGATTTATTTAGTATAGAGTCTTATACGTATTCCTTTTATGTCACATTGGTTTTCTAGAAATTGTTGAATGATCAATGAATATTCATGCAAAGCCATGGCCTAATTTAAAACATATTCTTCGACATGTTTTATTTTTAATCTTAGGTATCGAAACAACTTCTATTTATTGGCCAGTGCAAGTGAAAGCAACAAATAAAGTTGTCTTCTTTCGTCTTAATATATGGGATGTTGGAGATAATGCAATAAGAAAGTTTGAACACATTTTACCAGTTAGTAACAAACGTTTATTAAATACTTGAAACTAAACTAATTTTTCTCAAATAATTTAGAGATTTAATGTTAAATAAAATACTATAAATCCTTTACATTGTTTTTCAACTTGACGACTTTGACACATTTAGCCTTGTGTTTCATTCCGTTGTTTCCTGTGAATGATCTATGAATTCACAAATAAGCCCTGAGTAATAGCAATATTTTTTGATATGTTTTTGCAAAACTTGATAGAACAAATTTATAAACGAGAATATCGGTCGGAGACCGAAGACCAATCGATCGAAAGTTAGGGGATTCCCCAAAACAGAAACTGCGGTTTCGATTCATCCGCTCCTACTCCATGGCGACAGCGTGTGTCCCATCACTAATGAAATAATAACTCGCTAATTATATGGCATAATTCATCCAAAATCAATAAGCTTCTGGTCCGAGATATGATAAATGCACATGCAAAATTAGGAGCAGATTCAACCTTGCTTTCGTGAGATATCGTGTGTATCTAACAGACAAACAGACTTACCGATCTTAAAATCGATAAGTATTTATGGAAGTTTGAATCTTTACTCTCAATGCTGTGTAGGTTTCATTTTCTATGTTTAATGAGTAGAAACTCTCAATTTTTATTTCAGGCATGCCAGTCAAATGCTGATTGCTATATTTACACATTTTCGTTTATCGATAGATCAAGCTTTGAAGATATTCCTCAATTAATAAGTAGAATGATGGGAGATGATAACAACTTAGAAGGTCGTAAACCAGCACAAATCATCATGGGGACACGGTATGTTCCTATATCTTTATGTGAAGTTTTTTAATAAATAGTAGCTCATAATCATGAGAGATAACCATTACATTAATGTGCGTTTTTCCAGCCCAAAGAGACATCGACGGAGGTATATTCTCATTTTGTCAAAATAAACGTATCAGTATGTAATGAAATCTATATATCAATATGACACCATAATAAACTTCAGTCATGTTTCCTCTTCATAACTGATGACATTGATACAATTTTTTTTCACAGAGCTGACCAGTATATACACAGTGATATATCAGAAATGGAATTGAGAGATCTTGCTCAAGCATGGAGAATACCTTTGCTCAGAACAAAAAATACCTATCTTAACAAACCTGTAAGGGAGTATAAAAATTCTTTATCATTTGAAAGACTAGTTCTTAGAAGGATTACTTTCTAATGTGGTGAATTTTATTCTACCGTAAAAAAGCATATTCTATCGTTTTGGTGCCATTGAATTGTCATTCACTCCGCTGTGGAGCATATCTTTGCAGCATGATGGTGCCTCTTAGCCCTTGTACCTTAAATAAATAACTGACTCATCAATTTATCCCTGAACTATCTTCCCCTGAGGTAAATGCCAAGTTCTTTTTTATTTGAGTTAGCTGACTTACACCCTACATCTAAGTCCATGTATCTGGAACTCACTGGTTAATAACTGAACTAAACACCTTATTGTCTCTCTTCGAGGTAAATATGAAGTTGTTTTTGTTAGGGTACGGTAAATCTAATCGATATCATATGCAATTTTTTTGCATTTCATTTTCTTTCCTGACCCTGCATCTTCTATCATGGAGTAAAAAAAAAATCTTCAATTTTGCAGGCAACAGAGCAAATATATGATATTGCACCAATCCTTGATGTTATATGTGGAATGTTATGGCAAAGAGATAATTCTCAGTTGAGATGACCCTGGTCTGCATAATGCAATGCCTGCCGAAGTAGGTTCAATTGCATATACCTGCATTCCTCTCACAATATAGCAAGAACAACGCTAGTTGAATTTTCATATATTTTTGCAAATTTATATTTTTATTACATTTGATGAAAAGATATATTAATTAAATAGCAAATGCACAATGATCAAAAATGAAAAACAAATAAAAAGCAAATTGTACGTAAAGTCAGTTCAGCTCGGCAATTATGGGACAACACTATAACAAACATAAGCTGATGAAGAACGTGACGGAGGTGGTGTGAAAAGTATGTTCATCCCTGCAGGTTTAATAATGTCCCATAAATTAGAATGTTCAGGAATTGAGGGGATGCAAACTTCTAGGTAGTAGTGAAGCATATATCAGATATCATGAAGGCATCATAAAATGGATATTTTTTATAGACCTTTAACCCTTTTTTTAACAATTTTTCCCCATATTGGAAAACTATACTCCTTTGCGAGCTTTGTCAAATGCGAGTCAAAGGTACAAAAACAATGTTCACATTCATATGCTTACTCAAGTATCAGAGTGGCTGCCAAATTTTATTTGTAACATCCAGGGCTAGGGAGCCTTAATAACATTTTGTTGGTACTAATCTCAAGCTTACCATATTAGCCGGAGCTAACAAATTATTGGCTCAATTGTTTCATATTTACAATACCCTATCATCTACAGCTTTCAATAATAACAGGACTAGATCTATTGTGATTTTAAACCAGATCCCCAACCCTGGTTACTTCACCGTAGAGTTATTACTGATCAGTCTGATTAACTAGTTACAGAAATAGGTAAATCTACCAACAATCTTTGAGTTCAGTTAAGGATTATTTAGTAAACTGATTGCTATAGTGATTCATTATTTATTTATTGCACATACAAGCAAGTTCAGAAATAATTTTAGTGCAATCAAGTTGGCAATATTTCATGAATTGGCGTTTCTTGCTTCTATAAGCATTTGGGAAAAGGAGCAAGTTGTGTCACAGTTTATTGCACAGATGAGGTGGTTTACTATCTCTCACAAACGGCAATCTATTAGCAATAATTCCAATGCATATTAACATTTTCACTGAGAGTAAACAGAAGCCTGTTGTCCTTGCTGGTAACGATATGGATCTCGATAGAATGATCCAGTGTTTCTTCTTGGACTTGAAGATGCTATCAAACCATGTGATGAGTAAGATCGGAGCTGGCTTCCCTGTATACTATTTCTTTGCAGAGAACTTCCATACCGTCCTCCATTATGGTATCTATGCGAATGTGAAGATTTTGATACTGGAAGAATCAAAGGACAAGCAAGGGCAAAATGGAAGAGTGCCACAAAGTACATTAGTCACCATGGATCAGAATAACTGAAATATTCCCTTGCATATCAATGGCCGATTGTGTAGGGCCTTGTTTAGGGGTAAATGGCATGAATAATTTTACTAAATAATCCACCAAAAAATTGTGTAGACTATGCAAATCAATGTAACTCCATTATTTTTGATGATTGAATTAATGTACATAGCCCTCGTAAAAACAATTATGCTGTATTAGATGAAATTAAGTGCGCTTGTAATAAAAGTCAGGCTATAGTACACATGCCATAATATGCAGTACCAAAGTCATATTAATCAGTAAAACTCACATATCCTTTGCCAGAGGTGCATTAACTGATGCTTGATTCGATTCCTCATCACTGTCATATCTATGAGGATTGTCAAAAAAATAGACTCGAGAGCTGTAACTTTGGCTATTGAGCATGCTGTCAGGAATCTGGCCATAAAAATAAACAACATGAAATTGATAGCAAACTTCTTGTCAAATTAACAATAAATCCTTATAGAAATTAAAATTTTGGACCTCCTGAAGTATGCGCACCAAGGTGGCGCTCGACCTGAACTCTGGTTGTGTACCATATTAGGGTTCAGGTTATGCAACATCCTGGTGCGCATAATTCAGGAGTACCGAAATTTTATTAGACGATCACTTACCATACTCTGCTCAGGTCTTCGAACCCGGAAAAAGAAAATAACTAAACTTGTTGGAAGAAGTTCCCATACGAATAACACAATTCCGAACATAACGTACGAAAGTTGCGACACATCAACAAGATCTGCCTGTTATGAAATTGGATAAAAATTGAGGAAGTTACAAAATGCGCCTAACTATATTGGTGAAGACTGTAAGAGATCCTGTATTCTAACTCTACGCCCATGGATGACCATTTAATAAATTGAGAATAATCTAACTAAAATTGGTGATCCTCTGTATGACTGGCTGCGTGTGAATAGCCTTGTCAGATAAAAAGGTGCAAAATGCCTTATATTGCCATTGACATAGTAAAACTATTGATCAATAGCCTATAATGAATCACTTACCTGATCAGAAACATTATACCAGTCAAAATTGAAAGATGACATTTTGTTGTGACATCTCAGTGGGCTAACGGCAAGTAGGTTGTATATGGCACGAGATGTGAACAGGAAAACAATGAGAAATCCTACTGTTGCAGCCTGACACACTGTTGTTCCTTTGGCTTCAAGTAAAATATTGGCTGAAGTTGTTTTTGAGATTCGTACAATGCAATAAGCGAGCCATATCCCTCCAACAACAAACAGAAAATCATTAACGAGCACACGGGCCGTTACTGCTATTGATACGATGTCTTCATTTGGATCGATCATCTGGATAAACAAAATAGATGATGACAGCTGTGAAATCAGCAAGTGCGGTTTCAAGCACCTTGCGGCGTCTGAAGCTGCTGCAAAACCATGGCAGGATTTCCAAATCATGGCCGCTATGGTCAAACCATGACGGTTGACTTTTTAGCTGCCACAAACAAATGACGTGAAGCAGGGTACCACGGCAGCGAATTGAAAACCATGGCGGGTAAAATTGTGCTGCCACAAACCAAGGCATGTAGGCTGTAATGGCAGGACTGCCCCTGATGGTGACACACTTTGGGTAAGTTAAAACATTTTCCTTATGGATACAGTTTTGATGGATTTGGGGTTAGGTTTCAGGTGTAAGTAGATATGATTCCGCATGATAAACTAAAATCTGGTACATGACTTTGTGAATATACTGGTAATACCGCCGTAAAACCATGGCAAGCGACGTCGCTGTTCGATCAAGGCAGGAGCCGCCATTTAGAATCTGGAGACGTCGAATAGTGACAAGACAAACCCAGTCAAAATATCAGACAGTCAAAATTTAACATACAATCATCATTAAGCAACATAAGCTAAGATTTTTATAGTCAAAATTAGGTTTTCACGTAGTTCAAAGCTGGAATCGAAGTTGTTTTAGAAATGGCTTGGTTTCGAATGTAAATTTTCCCAGATTACACACCCTAAAATATTACTCCACAATATCCTCCAAAAATGCCCTGTAGTCGATAAGATCTATTAGCAAGAGTTCATCTTGTACTAATAGGTTACAAGTCAAAACAGATGTGATTGGCACAAAAATATCCATGCAACACCTTATAGAAGTTGTAATTTTAAAAACCTATGAGCCTAATATTAAACTGCTATAACATACCGGATATATGGGACGAGTGTAATGCATGTTAATACTAAAATGGCAATCTGTTGTGAAGTACAGAAGATTTATTTGCTTCAAAGCAATATTTACATTTTGAGTGTAAAACAAACAAATTGTATAAATAAATCCAACTCACATTAACTGCAGTCTGTTGGTAAACCACGATCGCACATCCGAGATTCATAGCAAAAAATATTGCGCTCATCAACAAACATGCAAAACGAAGGGGATTTCTGTAACACATTCAAAAACCTCGTTAGAAAAAAGCTTAAACACAAACACAACTGAAGGTAACAATCAATCAGCGTGACTGATAATATGATCGTGCAGCTTATTTGGACTGTAGCAAGCAATATTTGGTATATTGATATGAAACCAATAAACTCACTAAAATAGTTTTGTCATAAATACTAGATGATATTTAGCCTAGTAATATGACAGGCCACAATAACTTGTTGACTGACAGTTTCAAGAACCACTCAGTAATTCAGCAAATCCATAAATCGTCTCCAATAATAAGAGTACATTTTGTCTATGCAATGAACAGGAATACATTTTAATATTTTATCTCCATATTTGTTTTGCCAAATAGACTTAACTATAGTGAAATGAAAGCATTTGATTGTAAATAGTAATGAATCATGCCCAAATGGAAATCTAACATTATCATTCGCTGTACGAGTTCTTACTTGTATTTTCTCGGGTTAGCTGCATATTGTGGTTTAGCTTTAAACATCACCTGTGGAAAGAAGAGATTTCTATATTTGTTATTTTTCGGATTAAAGTGTATCAAGCTTAAATGAAGGCATAAAAAATTATTTTAATAAAAAAACAAGGGTCCCCTCTTAATGAGCAATAAATTCACTCAAGCAACTATGGCATTTTTTAATTTGTAAAATGGTACTAACTTTAACGATACTCCATTGCAACACAATAAGGCAGATATATTTCTAAGGACGGATAAAAAGCATAAGATTTCTCACCTGTGAAAAATATAAGTTGAGCAAGCATAAAGTGAAAAATTGAAGACAAACGGGAAAGCAATAGAACAAATAATACCAAACCAATGGTAGAGTATTTGCCATTCTAGTATCCTTGAAGTAGAATGAGAAAAGTGTTGTACGTAATCCACTCCATGCCACACACAGAAACAAGAATACAGTCTGGAAGCTTACTCTTTTATAATTGTAGTACAGAACAAGCCATAATTGAACATAAACGATAATAAACAACATGGAGTACAGTATGATATACGTTGCAGTTAGTCCTGCTTCAACTTGATCCGATACAGCAGGTGTAAGAGGTGAGGTAGAATTTTCTGAATCCATTACACTGCAGTTGGATGAAAACAGTAAATAGACCATGTTTCTTCTTCTATTCTCATAAAAATTACATTATAACATATGAATTAAAATAGCAGAAAAATATAGATCTATAAAAGAAATAGATGAAGAATAAGTGTTACTAAAAAAACAGAACACCAAACTTTCCTAATTACATCTACGAAAATAGAGAAAATATAAAAAAGATGTTCCTATATGTATATATGGCATTCACAATATTCCAAAGTCAGGGTATATGGATTTCCATGCTATGTCATTTTTAATAATTGCCATGTAAACAAGCAGATAATTCAGTAGGTGCTACTAAGTTTAAAGTGACAATTGTCTTTTCAGATCTGGATAGACATCCAACTATACATTACATCAGTATTTGTGAGGTGAATAGTGTGTAATTTGTTCGCGATGGGCTACTAAGCACACAAGTACTTTGGTCACTCACAAATTGTTTTGCAGTCAATGTGCTATATATACCTGTTTTGATGTAGCCTACATGTTTTATATTTTACTGTTATATATCATCAGCTATTCATAATTTTGATCTGCTTAGAAAGTACTAAACATAACAATTCTTGCCCATATAAAGTAGAACCAAATTCTAATTGACAGTACGACATAATTTTTGTCATGTGGAAACCTACGCACCCTGTTATTAATTTAAATTATCATTCAAACAAGCATGATGCGATCTGGCGCATCTACCGCGTGCCAGGTTCAGACGCCTCGGTTCAGAGACAAATAGAGTTTTGTTTTATTGAACCAAATGCCGGGACATCTAAATATCATCTTTGCAAAATGTGCGAAATATTTGTTGAAATAATTGCATTCAATAATTGAAATGATAATATAGATCGACAACTGAATATGAGATGGTTGTACATGATATGTTTAAGGTAAACAGAAATATTACTTGAACCGGATATAATATTTACCGTACTGGTATCTGTTTGAATCTCAGCGTCAACCTATACAAGTGTGGCACAGTTCAGCAGTTGTCTGATTCCATGAATAGCCCAGACATTAAAAAACATCAATTGTAACAGTGAGTGCAAACCCCATTTTTGAAAGTCGGTCTGGTTATCATATTGGCAAACCGACACTACGCAAAAAAACAAAAGAAAACACAATCTAAAAACGGCACAATTGAATTCTTGACAAAAAATAATCTGATTTACCGAAGGGAAAAAAATTAACCGTACCTTTTAGAGTTTTAGTCAAAAAAACACGAGTTTGGTCATGTGATGGTCGATGCACGTCATGATGATTAAAATTATTTATGAGTCACGCATGGCGCGATCTTACGCATGTGCCAGATGCGCTCTTTTCAGAGACAAAAAGCGAGTTCGTTTTATTGAACTGAATGTCGGGACATCTTGGATCTGAAGAACTGTGCCCTACTACTGTACCGGTACTATCAGTACTATATACCGTACAATATCAGAATATAGAAATGAATAACCAGGCAAATTAAGTTTGAAAATGGCTGTGTAAAATTTGAAATACTTTGACATACAGTACCATAACTGTTTATTGAACCTGATACAGTACCGGTACGGTACAGGTATTATCTGAATATTCAAAAACACTGAAACAACATTTCATTCCTATGTTTTCATTTTCAGGATATAACTTACCGATAGACATTTATGGTTTATCCTTGTCTATATCGTCCATGTACTGATGTAGGATATTACCTTCATCCTTATTATTCAGTTAACGGTATGGAAATGGATTTGCATAGTGAATTTAAAACACTGAAGGTATGACCAGTCCTACCGTAATAAAACTGTTCCACTGAAGTAGCATAACAATAATGAAAAACCATATTACCCATATTCACATTCATACATTACAGCATTACAGTCAAATTCAATTTTCTATGTATAAGTATAAGTTTACTTCGACTCCATAATCAGCAAAACAATAAAATGAATGGTAAAAATAAATAAATAAAAACTGATTATGAAATCAGGAGAGCGAACAAAACCTTAGATAAGGTTTAAAACGTACAGAATGTATATAAGATGGAAGGTTTTGCCAAGAAGATGTGGTACGTGTTCACTCACCTAAAATAATTGAAATATTTCACACACGCTCACACGCACCCACATACACAACCATATACAGATATAGAAGTTATTGAGTAAAGGGAACATGAAAAATTACATACTGGTAGTTAATAAAAAATAAATAAAAAAAAATTACTTGCCACACCATATTAATAAATTTATGATGATTGCCACTGCCAAATTGATCAATTTTATAAATGGGAGTGAACAGTAAAGATAAACTTTTATAAAAAAATATATTGTCAAGCTGATTCTGTGATTATAGGTGGGAGTCAAATGCCAAAATGCCCAACCAAAGTTGCCAGAATTGGGTGCATGAAGAGGTGGGCTAGACCACTTCATTGCCCAAACTAGAGCCTATTATTGCCAAATTATAGTCCAGATTGTAATAATTATTTAAATCTATCAGTAACTTTATAAGTATGAGTAATTATAATTAATTAAGGTAGAAAGACAGGGTATAGGAATATGTTGGCTGCTAAGGTTATAAGGTTTTTTTTTTTTCATTCTTAGATATTGACTTCTGCAGGGATAAAGGAATTAGGAATAAAGGAATTAGTATTGTTATTTTACAGGATCATTTCTTCATTAAACTGTAAATGTAAACTAATATTTTTTTTTTTTTTAATAATAATAAAAAATAATATAAATCATTACATACAGATGAAACAGTATAAATTCCATAATATTTTTTAAACATTACTTTTCACAAACTAAATTCCAGTCAAACTTTATCTCCATAACACATTAAAATTAACCAACTCGATATGTAGAGAGGGGTTGGTAGCCTAAAAGTCTCATTGCGCGCAGCGCATTAGGAGCAGCGCATTACGCACAGTGAGGCCGCATTAGGAGCAGCGCATTGGGCACAGTGAAGCCGCATTAGGCGCAGCGCATTGGGCACAATGCGAGATCACATTAGGAGCAGCGCATTGGGCACAGTGAAGCCGCATTAGGCGCAGCGCATTGGGCACAATGCGAGATTGCATTAAAGCAGCGCATTGGACACAATGCGAGGTCGCATTAGGAGCAGCGCATTGTGCACAGTCAGGATTGACAATTCATCCATCCATTTTATCATTGTTTAAGGAATCTATAAGGACAGGCCAGACTCGACTTTTAGATAGTAGCAACAGTGATTCGACTTGACTTGGTACTCGAATTTGATAGAACTAGATTGGTGACACGTTACTGTAATTTAACAGCTTTGCCTTTTGTTGTTACAGTGGAATCATGTATGTCTGAAATTGGTCAGACGAAACAATAGGAAAATATATTTGTCTTATTGTGCCAGATAACTTCGATGAGAATATAATGATTATTAAGACATACCGAAGATTTATAGACGACTGCAAACTATTTTGGACATGAGGATCAGAAAACATTCATATCTGCAGTTATAGCTTGTTTGTCTAAAGGAGTTAGACTATGATCTAACGAAAGCTTACAAATATACCTGTTATTTCGTGAAAAGAGATAATGCCATACTTATTGACATAAATTACTCAATATAAATCCGCTGAATACTTTTCAATCAGCTTTATCATCCAAGTTCCCCACTGTTAATGATGCATTCAAAAGTTTCATTGATTCTTCAACATACCAGACGCGATTCTCACTGTGCATGTTTACTTGCGGTTGCTTTTTTATCATAAATATGTTTGTTCAAAGAATTCTTGCTATGATCCAACGAAACGTTAGAAAAACACATCTGACTTAAATTTGCCCCATGATTCTGAATCACATATAATTCAGTTCAGAATAAAAATTGAAGATATAGATTGAGTTCAAAATTAATTTAAATCGTGGAAACAACATTAAAATAGAGAAATATAAAAGCGATAATGCGTTACAAGATTTAACATATTTGTGAACTTCAGAGTATATTTTCAGAAGTGAGGCAGTATTTATTAGATTTTGATTATTCAATGTAAATTATTAAGGAAATGTAACTGGTAAACTGTTCATGGAAGTACCAGTTTATGTCTGAATACTTTTTTAAACTGAATAGGTCAAGCGCAAATCTTATAGAAAATTAAAAAAAAAACATTTTCTGATTGCGGCAATGTTTATTTTAAAATCAAATCATTTTATATGTTGTTTTTGTGATTTTCCTGTATTTATCATAATGATATTTATCATCATATTGACGGTATGTAGCATTAAATGCATATTCATGTGCGGGTGATGTACACCGATAAAATATAGCCAGAAACACAAAACATGTGGCTTAAATTGTTCGAGTTGTTTCAATGGGGTAAAAGGCAATCTGTAGAACTTTTATTAAACAAAGCCTGGACGACCTGAAGTATGCGCACCAAGATGGCGCACAACCTGAACTCAGGTTGTACACAAGGTTAGGGTTCAGGTTGTGCGACATCTTGGTGCACATACTTCACGAGTACCCAAAGCCTTATACAATTTTGATTGTTTATGCCTAAATGGTTATGAGTAACTATAAAACTTTTTCCAAAATTGCTCTTTTCCAGTTTCCATTTATCAATAAACATTTCCAATCGTTTTTTTTTTTAAATATCGTCACGCTAATAACCGAATTGCGTAAGTCATATTTAGCAGTTTTGAGAAAAACATAAAAAACTTCCTAATGATATTGTTATGCCATTGAGAGTCAATAATTTGTCATGGTTCAATTTTTTGATTGTTGCCGGATTTGAGTTAATTTGTATGACGCAGTTAATTAACGCACTGTGACTTAGTCAGAAATGTGTCAATGACTTGGGGACATACGCAATTTTGCAACTTTACTATATGCACCAGTCCTGGAAACTAAACATTCCAAAATCGAATGTAATTCTCAGTATCTACAATGTCTAATCCCCAAAATAGCTAATCAGTTTCAATTACATTATTTTTTATGTTTAAAAATATATATTTTATCAATATAACACGCTTTGCACACCCACCGAAATAAGACTGAGATTAAATATAAAGAATAAAACAGCAATGCACCCAATATAAAAGCCAACCAAGGTGAATTGGACTCGGATAGTAAATATCACAAGTGCACGTCTTCCTATA